CTCACTGGTACCAACTTTTACATCCATTTTAATCATGTCAGCGCACACTGTCACATAGTGACTGTCACGGATAAACGTTGGTTGTGCACAGCGAACATGCGGAAGAACATAACATTATTATCGCTTTTGAATGAGAGATTCACTTCAACGTGGGTAAATGAATTCTAATCTCTGAAAAACTGGGCTTGAACACGTCTGTTGAACTGTCAAATGCGTCAAATGAAACGGTGTCAAACAGCGTTGAGATATATTAAGGTGAATGTTCCACGTTTGTATGGCGTTTTTAACTGAAATAGCCATCTTGAGGACATTTTGACACAGTTAACGGTCATGCCCTTTTAAGACCCAAAACGCTCTGGTTCCTGAGTTGCACGCGCGCAAAGTATGAAAAAGGCTTACATACAGCCAGCTTCAAATCGCCTTCTGATTAATAAGGCCATAGAAGCGTCATTAGATCTCCGTGATAGTGCAGGCTGTTTTTTGTTGATCTTCAACACAACATGGCTACTGCTACATTCGCAAAAGGCGATGATGCTGCACATGTGGTACAGTCCGCTGATGATGATTGGCTGTTAGGAAGATTTTACTGCTGAATTCGTGTCGCGAACACAAGCGTGAGCAATTTCGCGGGTTGTGCAGACACTCGTCGTGAACGGGTCATTTTGCCTTCTTTCTAGGCCACAGGTCAATGTCATAAAAAAGAACGCCGTTGGATGCAAAAAAGTACGGCACCACCAAAATGGGCACTGTCCCAAAGTTACCAAAAAAAAGGACGCGACGGCAAATCTGTCTTTTTCTCCTGCTGGCGTTTTTTTCTTCTTCTACTAACCTATCTCTTACAGACAGCTCGGTTGGCTCCTTGTGTACAGGAGCACAGGACCTTCCACGGGTTTATGGGTTAGCAAGACATCATGAAACTATGGAAACATTACAGTGATTTTAGATCTATTTTCTCCAAGTATTTCTCACATATCGTACGACAAACTTTAGATCTTGAACAGGACTTTGGTTTTGAAGGGCGGTCGCGGTGAAGTTCGGAGTTGTGACTGAGGATCTGTGCGGAAATTGTGAGAAAACCTGCAATATAATAGTCCCACGAACCGTTCAAATGTGAGATCACACCTATTTAGCAAAAAATGTGATTCGGGGGCTCGAAATGTGGTGTGATCACTGGTGGTGTGTGCCAGTGGCTTGTATTGGCATGATGCGGTGGGGAGTGTACGTGCGAGATTTGTTCTTCTGAGAGAGAACATTGTTTTAATATTCTTCAACCTACTGACTCCCAATAAAACGGCATATAATGATGTCTGATATATGGATGCCTATTGATATTGATGCCTGCCTCCACCTGTATGTTTATGTTTGAACATGACAAGGAATGCTGGCAAATTAAGAGAAACACCTGGCACTTATGTTGCAGGGATGTTTAAGGAAGGTACTGGCACTGCTACTTCATCATGAACATGCCAACATTGTAAACCTATTGAGGTACTACAGCATTGAATTAACCCATTGCGTGTCATATCAGCACTTCATTTTGGCGGTAGGGACCGGTGTGTGCAGCACATTAATGGACGTGCTCAGTATAGGCTCACATTACATGGCTCTGCAAAATTATCTTTTGGTAAATAATTCTGAAAATATAGTTTTATTATTACTGATGCACATTGTACTGTCTTCCCAACTCTTGTATGCAGGCGAGCATTGCTTCTGAGTAATCAATGTCATAGTCACTGCAACTTGTGTGCGCTGGCAGCTTCATCACTTCCTTGCATTTTGCCCTTCCAACCTTAGCTACATGCACTTGTCATGTCTCCAGCATTGTGCAAGGTCAGCATGTTTGCAGCGTCATTTCACCACATGTAAAATTTTCCTGTTTTTTTTTTTAGTACAGCAGCCTGATGGCGGCAGCATGTATGACCATGAAGTGCAAGATGTGTTTGCATGTTTCTCACCTGCGTTTTCTGGATTTCCGAATCAGGCGTACCAGGCGATGCCAGTTATTGGTTGTCTGCTTTGCTGAAAATGATTTGTATTTGGTATCATGTGTTTTTGGTCAGTCATATGTCAGATGGGAAGCCAATACAAGAGCACATGCTTGACCTATCTTTTCATGTTGGAACTTATTATGAAAGCGGCATGGAATGCAGTCGAAAAGCCATATTGTTGTTCATTATGTCGTGCCACAGTACAGCACCGAGATAGTGCCAAAATGACACTATTGACCAGTGCCATCACACAATGTACCACATTGGTTGATTACTCTATGTCAAGCCTATGAGATGGCAGCTCATAATTGATGAATGACTGGTAAAAAATTTATTTAACAGTGCCAGAGGATTGTCTACGGCAAGAATGTCGTTGCACCACAATGGTTATATCAGGGTTAAGTAGTAACTGCATGAATAATACTAAGCCCAAAAAATCCCGGTTGCCCAACGTAACCGTCCTTACCATATCAATAGCAATGCTTTGACAATCAATGCATGGCATCATTACAACTTCATTAATTTTCGCATGACACCACATTCCCAGTTGCAAACAATTGAGACAATGTTACAAATTTGCTAATTTTGGCACCACACCCCATTTCCAGTTGCAAACAATAAGGACAGTGATAACTGTACACATCACATAATATCAAAGTCAGGACTACAGCACTCCGCGCAATGATGGGTCGGCAATAACGTATTGACAAAATCATCAACAGCAAAGCAGCAACAGCAGCAGCACAGCATATCGTGCTTTGATATTACTAATCTGACATAAAGTTGGCAGTCACATGTTGCGCATGTCAGACAGTCCACGAAAGCTTTTCTTACGGCCAGCACCAATACAAAAATCCATAAACAACCCACCCACTAATCGCCCCCCCCCCCCCTCCCACACAAACAGACCCCGCGACGAGAATGACCGGCTGGCGTCAGCTTTCGTGTGTTTTGAGGTATTCTGTAGGTCTGGCTGCCAGATGCTGCCAGGTTTTACTGTCGCCACAAACGCAATTCATGACGCAATCAAACGATAACGTAACGGGGCCCATCTTTATAAACTTTGAAATTAGGCTACTTACCGTCGTTTTTGAACTTTGAAAGGTTGCCAATAGTTACAAAGAAGGACTTCACATCATATCTGATGCCTAACTCAATATCTTGCAATGTGGAACGTTCCCTTTAATGTCTTGGTAGGCATACAACTGAGCATGATTTTCATGAACACATTTAGAAGGAATGGTCCGATGCAGGCTGGTTCGCTGAAGGCCGCAGCAAGATGTCAAGTGCACATTCGATGTCATAAGGTGTCACTGACATCAGATAACCTCCAGAGCGGAAGCTGCCTCCAAGGGTGACGGAAAATAATCTGATCAGCGGATATTACAGATTTCAGGCAAATATCAAACTTTGTATAGCATGCACCCATATGAGCTGGTCGAGGCCAAGGTGAATGTGATCTTGATAATAAGATCGATCTAAATTATAGGTAGCAAGGAAAAACAGCTAAACTGTCTTGGCTATATTGCCCAGCCCTGCTCTTTTGCGGTCTTTGTCTCCGCAGTATGTAGATGAATTTGACAACCATGTGATACTTATGAATTTCAATCCAGTTAATGCAATGTGATGGCGTGAAACCAGATTCACGTATTTCCAAAGACGTCACTAGACGTAAGGCAGTATAAAATATATGGATACTAATGAGTTTACTGTCATTCATCTGGTAAAAAATTGTTTTAGGTAACGTATTTGGTTTTACTGCTACAGCGTTTTGGCGCAGAGCATGATCAATGTACTTTCCCCGCCTGCATCAACATGTGGACAGGCCCTTCAAAAAGTTCCGACGACGTTTTATCACGGCCCCTTTCCGGAGGTTTGTGCGAAAGGCTCGACGACATTCTTTAGCTCCTGAATTGTGGGTAGGGTAGGCTTTTTACCTTTGCCAAGTTCCGGGAGATTGTGATCCTTTTGTGGTTCTGCGCGTTTGCAGTGCGCATTTGTGATATCTAACTGCCATCACCAGCAAGCTTGGCCATGCACTGTTCGTTTTCATGTATATCACGTGCATCTATCTAGCATTCAGTTGCTGGACTTAGTGGCCTCGTCGTACGATGCCCAATAAACAGATAATTTCGTTTCAGCTATATTACATTAGGACAAATACTCATCACGGTAAACAAGTCTCACACTTGCCACGGTTTGCGCGGCTGAGATCACATGAACCTGAAGGCTCATTCAAGGTTCATTGCATCACACCTTCAAAGCATGGCATTATCCTGAGCGCTTCCGGAACCGTCATAGCGCTTCAGTTGCATCAGATCTCACATGTGCTGTCTGATGCCTCCATCATACTAAAACGCGTAAAACTCCAACAACGTTGAATGCTTGAATAGCTTTGCTTTCAGTTTTTCATGTCTTGTCAGCCTGCTGCGTCGCTCACACCCTGCTGAGGTCACACAGCTAAGCCTCCCGGAACAGCAGTGATCTGATGGCACGGTAATCGGCTGATCCTCGACCTGCCGGCGGCAGCTCCCCGCCGCCATCTGTCGGATAAAGCCACAGCTATACATCCGGTGCACATTCGCGTGGAATCATCGGGCTGAAATAACGCGATAATCTCAGCTAGCAGTTTATACAAAAGAGCACTAAAAACACTGATGTATTTTTGGTGATGTGCGGAAGTGCTGGGAGAGTCTAATCATACCTCCGGGCTGCTTTGATGCGCATGATTGCTGACATCATTTGTGATGGATATTTTATGGTGTACATCACAGATCTCTCATGCGAGCGAGGGGTGGCCTCACGAGCGACTTGTGATAACTATGCAAGTACCGTCACAAATCCCAGCTGATTTTTCCTTGTATTTATGGAGGGTTGCACGATGCCAAAGACTGTAAGTTTGATCATTCACACCGGGTTTTTCAGCAGCGAGGCGCGAGCCCCCGTATTTCTGACATCGTCTGCCTCCGCCGCCCGTCTCGGCCCTCTCACCTGTGTGTGCGTACATGCGCTTCAAAAGCTGGTGCGGGCGCTGATCTGGCCCACCACCCACTTGGCGTACACGGTGAGGTCGGTGTAGATGCCCGGAAGGTTGGGCCTGCCACAGCCGATGCCGGCCGACACGACGCCGGCCACCTGGTACTCCTTCCCCACCTGCACCACCAGCGGACCGCCGCTGTCCGCCTGCCGGGAGGGGTGCACGAGCACCCGTCAGCGGAAGAAGGATGTGTGTCCCAGATACCACCAGAGGGCCGCCGCTGTTTGGAGGGCCTCTCGACCACTGGAAGGAAAGCTAAAGACGTCCACTGTTGTACCAGCGGGAAGCTGCTCTCTCCCGGGAAAATGCTAAGTATGTGGCATCATCAGGGCCTAGCAAGCCTGTATGCCTGCCGGTATTGACTATTTGGTAGCTTTGGCATGAAGAAGAGTGGGGAATAGTGGGGAACACTACATGCGCCTGAGGGTTCTCCGCCGAGACTTAGCCCACACAGGGACTCCTGCGAGGGGTATGTGCCCTGCGCTTGGATGAAGACCCCGATAGGCCGCCCACTCAAGGCTGGCGTATGCAGCGTGCCCAGGGTAAAACGGGGCGTCGCGAGTATGCAGGAATCAGCGAGAACGAGGGCAGAGAGGCGCCAGCGCCCTAGTCGGTACTGACCGCTTATATGAGCATCAGACACTTGTGCGCTTTCATGGCGTATGTGACGTGACGTCATATGAACAACACCTGGCGTAAGCTACGTGACGGTCACACATCACCAGATATGCATGTGAACCATTTCTAAGTGAAGAGCACCATGTGGAGGACTTGTAATTGTTACGCCTGTTCTCCAGCATCTCACCTGGCAGCTGTCCTTGCCGCCCTCCTTGTACCCGGCACATATCTTGCCCTCGCTTATTTTAATGCTTTTCTTGGCTTCGGTGAACCAGTCCTGGCAGGTCTGTCTGGAGAGGACGGGCACCTCCGTCCATTGCAGGGTGTCGGGACGAGTTCCACCTGCACAGCAACCATGGCTCAACGATTGTGATATTACATGCTGTGCAGTTCGCAGTACTGGCAGCATGCACTCAGCTAATACTGTTTAAAGGTCTTTTATGAAGAAAATAATATCTGGTCAGTTAATCAGATTTTCACAAGTTGAACCAAATTCCCGAGACCCTACGTGTCCAGATCAAACAATCGCCATATTTCTAGGTTGGAAATTCGATCAGAAATGATGACCAGAACGGCGTCATTAAGGTTTTTCCGACCAGACTTGAGCCGTGACCTTGATACTTAAGTATGTCCTAAAGCTCTGGCTTCTGCAGGCCTGACAGCGAATCTGAGCCCGACAGTCAGCTGATGTCTGACCCCCGGTAGCGTGGTCCCCGTGACGGCAGCCGTCTCACCTCTCCTCCACTCGTCCAGATAGCCCCAGCCGGCCATGATGGCACTCTTGCCCGTGAACTTCTCGCCTCCGACTGGCGGCAGGCACACCGGCTGCACGTAGTCACTCCAGGTGAGCTGAAGGGAAGCCAAGCGAACGTCAATATCGGACTTGGTTTGGTGCCATATCTTGAGATGGTCAGCACTCTCTCGATATGTCGGCACAGCGTATGATTTGACGATACAATGCCAAAGGGAAGGGATTGAGCCTGGTGCTGACGACAACGACTGCAGGGTTACAATCACACATGGAATTGATGAGGTCCAAACTCCACGGTGGTCACGGCCATGAACAGCTTAAAAGAAAACGTCACCCAAGAACGGCGACTGTGACTATGCACACCTCGTGAAACACACATGCGCCATCTTGCTGCAAAGCTGTTTGTTTGGAATCAAGTCGTGCGTGAGACAAAACAAAGTTAGGTCTTCCAGCGTGCCAGCATGGCGCACCTGCAGCAGCTCCGGCGTCGTCGCCGGCTCTCACCTTTGTGGCCAGCCTCAGCAAGGCGATGTCGTCGTCGAACTTGCCCTCCTGGTAGCCGTCGTGCACGATACGCTCGGCGATGGCCACGCTGTGTCTGCTCGCCTCGGGCCTGGTCAGGTTGTGACCGCCCACGGTCACCGTGAACTGGCTGGCCGGCCGGTCGCCGAAGCAGTGCGCCGCCGTCAGCACGTACTCGTCGTTGAGCACGGCGCCCATGCAGAAGTGTGAGCCGTGGTGCTGGACTGAGGCCGACCAGGGAAACTGGCCGTGGTACGCTGCCTGGCCGCCCTTGACCCGCGTCTGCCGCCCTGCCACCAGACGGCGGCCGCAGGGCACGTTCGCCACTGCAGGCACAGACACCACCCGTCACTGAAGTGTCGTGGACTCCGTGTACGCAGTGAGGGCATGGGGCTTTGGTAGTCGGTGACAGGAGGGTTGCCATGTATCGTGCTATAATGGTGCTTTTTTGGCCGCCTAGGTACGGAGATCTTTAAATAGCCGCAACATCATTTCGCCTGATATAATGCTCCTCCTGCTCCTGCTAAATGCTCCTGCTAAAACGGGACAACTAATGCAGGGCTGGCATGCGAGATGCGGTCCTGCAAGGTAGGATAGGTATACAGAATGCAGTCTTGAATGCTATTCTGGGTACTCGGCGAAGAAAGTGCCATGTCTCGCTATGCGATGTAAAATACATTTGGAAAACAATGTCATGCTATCCATGTTCCCGTCAATATATCAACTGATAAGTTCATGTTGTACCAAGCAGCGTGTTTGAATAGTCTTGGTTGACCATAGGCAAAATGATGTACGCAACCCGGCTGGTGCCTGTATCCCTTTAACCCCGTATAACCCTGCTTAAACACAGGGTTATATCCATAGCTGTACTTACAGTTCATCGCTCTCGTGCTCTGGCAAAGCACACCAATGGCGGACAAAAGCACCACGAGTCTCGTCATTTTGCACAACACTCTCTTTACAGGACACCAAACAATCCCGATTCCCTGCACTGCGCAGCTGCACTGACAATGTTTCCATCGTTAGCTTTAATTTAAGTACACTCACCTCTGCTTCCTCGGTGCGCGGATGACGCCATGCAAGGTCGCTTCCGGACGAATTGGAAGCATTTGCAGGGCTGCACGTCGGCTTCCGGTGCCAGCTCGGCGGCGAAACAAGCCAGCCACTGTGTGGCGTCCCGCGCCGCACGCGTCGACCTGCCGCCCCCTGTGACCTTACACGAGGTCAGACCGGACACGGCAGTGCCTGTTTGCGGAAGCGCGGCGCGCGAGCTAGCAGCTCTGGCGGGCCAGTGAGGACGGTCGGCGCCGGTGAGATGTCCGGACTGTGACGCCGAGGGTCTGTACTCAGAGACGGATGTCACCGGCGCATAGTGGTGTGGCCTTGGTCCATGTCGCAGATGCGTGAGAGACGGCCATCGGGGACGTGCTGGACAATATTCTGCGCCGGTAATTTTCATTGCAGTTTCAGCATATCACCGGCGGCTGTGGTCCGGGGCGATATTGTCCACTGCAGCAATGAAGCTGCCATTGACGACATTTCGACAATGCGGAAACAATGTTCCATGGTTGGGAGTACCGCCTCGGCCGTTCCGCTGGTGCGTGTGTTGTCCCCCATTATCTGTTTCCGATGTTTTGATTCCGCATATCAGCTGCCAGCGCGCGACTGACAAGGTCATCACAAGGTCATCACAGAGATGCAGTTGGCGGGGGCCTAGAAAGATCAACTGAAACGGCTTTACGCCACACATATTTTCCAGCATTTTTGCGCCTGTGCTCTTTTCAGTGAATTTTGCGCTGCACTCAAAAGGGTGCCGATGGTGCAGCGGTTAACGCGTATACGCGAGCTTCTGCACGTCTGAGAAACCTGAGATACGGGGTTCGGTTCCTCGCGGTGTCCGCCCTTCCTGTCAGGGAGAGGGGCAGGCGACGCCATACAACTTCAGCACCTGAGTGCGTCTTCACGCCCCAATGACGACGACGCGTTCGATTCAAAACGTGCAAGTAAAACGAGGAAAATGAGCTGGGTCGATCCGGCGGGTGATGCGGTCTAATCCATTACAGTGGGTCAGCTGTTGATGGGATCAACAAACAGGTTGAGCAAGCGGCTTCGGACCCGATGAACATTGTGCTTTCATGTGTTTCCAGGTTTTCATCGATTTGAAACAAATATGTAAGCACTATGTTCAAACAAGCCAGTAGATAGTCTGAGATCCAACATTTCGCTACAATATGCCATTTAATCGTTTTCAGGACCATTTGCTGCAAAACAGTCCAGCGGTATGTGCAAAACAGTCCGGTGTTTGTAAAATAGGCATGAAGAATCGCTGAATCAATGGTGCATACGACATCCAACACTGGGGCGCTTGTGAAGTACAGTCCCAACAACATCATGGCCAGTTGACAGCTGCGAATGAGACTCTGGTATACTGGCTTTGGCTCTTATTTTGAGGTGATTGGATTTGGATGGGATCAGCCTTGGAAGAAGTTGAAAGAATTGGATTTGGATTAAGATCCTACTTAACCGATTGGTATGTATCAGATCAAACACGATTTACCGGGTTCGCACTCTGCTCTCTTCATAGTCTCACTATCAGTAACGCAGCCAGCCAACGAAATCGGATGCTCCCTAGCCACTGGTTGGCCCCTCCACCATAAGTGATCGACCTGACAGGGAACGTGCCGTAACTTACAGGTAGTAGCGATTATAGACTTTCTTAGCTACGGGTGATGATGACTGATGAGTGAACCTAAAGCATTTTACGTTTTTTTTCGTTTTGCTCGATAGGCTCGAAACTTCGCAGTTCATGAGAGTTCATCGCAACTTGCGGACAGCATGCTCGATTATTGGTCAGCCGCGCTGGACCGCGTGCCGCTGTTGGCCTACGTGCTGCAGCATGGCCGGCGCGCGCTTCACCGTCTCGCCGTTGCATACCGTGCGGTCGCGTAATGCAATCGGTGATCAGTGCGTACAAATGTGCACAGTCCCAATAACGTCTCGCTTCAATACGTCAGCGGTTTTGCAAGGTTCAAAACGGCCGTTACCATAAATATATCATGCCACTAAATTGGCAACACCCATGTTCAATTACTAGCAGATGTCTACGATCGGAAGAGGGACATCAGCTGTAAAATGGTTTCATCTCGCAGGCAAACTGGACAAACTGAGGTAAACCGGGCGAGTTACAGAACACCCAACGCTTGAAAGGCAAATTCCTACAATGCAGGTAGGACTGCGAGGTAATGAACTCGTAGTTTTGACATACATTGCACACTACCCGCCATGTGATATTTACGAATCCATTGAAGTTGTACTAGGTTATGAATTATTACATAACATTACACGCACCATTGTGGTGTTTAACTGCAGGCTCACGTTTGTCAACACAAGCAAAAGAAATGACGTCCTACAACGGCACCCCTCACGCTCCTCCAATTAATTTTTTGCTGGTGCATGACACTTGGACGTCTAGAAAATCATTTATGAGGATTATACATATATATATATATATATATATATATATATATATATATATAGACTTGGACCCTACTAATAACCCTTTTGCCATCCCAACAAGCTCCTGTTTTCATGTCCAGGATTAGCGGCTCATGGGGCACCACTACATGTTGGGGGACTTGGAAGGGGGAGACTTGAGCCTCCAAAGCCCCCCCCCCTTCCATAGCGCGATAAATTCCGCGCCTCTGCCATTATGGATCAGTAGGTAAGTGCCCAAGTATACTTAGGCACAAGTGTACTTTCTGCTCTATGGAGCAAAGCTCGCATTTGATCATAAACTACACTTGGTGCACGCTGGTATCGTGCTTCTTCTACTTGCTTCTACTTGCTTCTACTTGCTTCTTCTACTTGCTACTTGGTATCGTGTTTCTTCTACTACTTCTTCTTCTGCTTCTTCGTGCATTCAGATTGTAATGCTTCTCAAGAAGGTATTGATATCCTATAAACAAGTAAAAGAGTGTATCGGTCGATGCAAGCCTGCATTGCCAATTTTGCAGCTAAATGCAGACTCCAGGCAGCGGGGCATGAATTTGAGGGGTCAGACTACTGCATGTCAGCTAAGTGCGCTGATGTCTGGCTGCTGCATGTCAGCCAAGTGCGCTGATGTCAGACTGCTGCATGTCAGCTAAGTGCGCTGGTGTCAGACTGCTGCATGTCAGCTAAGTGCACTGGTGTCAGACTGCTGCATGTCAGCTAAGTGCGCTGGTGTCAGACTGCTGCATGTCAGCTGAGTGCGCTGGTGTTTTCAGCTCCGTGTTTGCCATTGGATGTTCGCTAGTCCTGGCATATCCTCTTGGGAGACGGGGAGGGGCGGCGGACATTTGGTCTCGCTTATCTTGATGCGGCGCAACAGCGTTCACTTGAATGTTTTTGTAGCGATGGTGCTGGGTGGGGGAAAGAAGGGAGATATGCATCAGCTTTTATTCTGAGCTCCCTCTTACTTTAAGCAGCGATGGCAGGACTGAGATTCTTAGATCTGCAGGCACGCATAGCCTTCAGCTTTATATGTAGCGACAAAGAGCACGTCTTTGTTTTTGGTGAATGGCGTCTAAATGACCTTGTTTCCAATGAGGCAACTCGCCCCCCCCCCCCCCCTGGGGTAAATTGTATCACATGGTGGAGGAAGTTAAGCTTATATTTTCTTTGTCATGGAGTTAGTTACGTCGCAAGCAAGCTACATGCGCTACGACATATATACCAAATGGCCCATCCGTGCTATTTCATGATTCTTCGTCGTGGCAACATAACATAATTGTTTCCCCTAATATCAATCTATGATTTTTACGATTGCGGCCACCTCAGTTTCAGTCGTTCAGTTAGAAATTTTAGGTCTACAGACATAGTGTAAGCACCATCTCGTTTTCTGGGTGACATTAAGTTTTGATAATCATGTCATTCAATCATTGGCAGCAAGTCAATCAATGACATATATTCGATGCGTTGTATCTCTGACACAACATGCCCCATGTACAGTTGATGCAACATGTACTGCCCAACATCTTAGAAGAAAGTTCGTACCATCCATAAATTTTTGGCAAGCAGACGCCAAATGGCTTGCGGTACATCCGACACATGCACTTGTGCACCACTCATTATGACATTCAGAATGGCCTTGTTATACCGTAAGCCCTCAAACACACATCTACAACCGATCGCTATAGTTTTCACTGACATTCAAAAACCTGATCTGTGGCGCTCATCCCAAGTTGTGCGCGCGTTCACGGCCGAAGTAAGACTGAAAGGCAGTGAGTGCTACTGTGCTTCAGCTGAGTGATTCAACCCTGCCATCCATTGCATGATTTGAATAAATCACTCTGATGCTATTTGAACATTATACAACTTTTCCGTACTTCCTGATATAATATACAGTCTTGATGATACACTCTCCCGTGCCCTTTCTACCCTTCCATTATTTCTGGTTCTCGTATACATCATTTTGCATGCCCCCGAACAGGGGCGCAGCCAGGATTTTCTTAAGCGAGGCGCCAGGAGCTCAGGGAGTATGCAGCACGCCAGGAGCGTAGTTTCGCAAAATGAGTTTGGAGGGGGAGGCTGAACTGTGGGAAAGGACTCAGCCTACCCGCAGAATACGCCAAAAACTGGTTGCTGTGGAGATTTCACCCTGGCGAAATGGTGCCTCTGAACGTTGTTGCTGCGGGGGTGGGGGCGGGGGATGGGATACTAGGAAATTGGAAAATGTTTTTGTCTGTTCTTTGGTTTTTCACTCCTTATGGTTTTGCATGTTTCCTGACCACGTCTGTTATCGTATTGATTTAAAACCAATGCCTGCAGTTGGGTCTCAAAGCAGGGCAGCAGATAAGGAGGGGGGGGGGGGGGGGGCAGGGGCTCCTCCACTCTGTTCTGCACTTGACAATACATGCAGTGTGCATGAAAACATTTGATGATAATGTAACAAAAGGTAATAGATATATAACTACGGTAATACAAAATGATAATGATGGAGTCAAAATGGTACCTGAAACAAATACATCAGTGAAGAAATAATATAAATAAAGAGATACTCATCGTGTCAGCCCTCCACTATATTTCCAGAATGGATCCACGGGCACTGGTGCGCTATTATCATATTCTTTCACATAGCTCGGTTTTCCAATTTTCACTGGTGGATATTAATTACGATTGACCAGTAAGTGGTGGGTTCGGCTACTGCATTGGGTCTTGTGAGACCAGCTGCCGTGCCGCATCTCGTGGGATCGGTGACTACGCTGGCTCCAGTGAGGTCAGGTAATGAGCTGGCTTAGAGTCAGCAGAAGGTGAATGAGTCGATGCACTGGTATGACCAGGTGTTGCCCAAGGCCATGCGGCTTGTTCAAGGCTTAGGGGATATTTCGCCACGGTCCTGATTTATGTTTCCAGAACACCTGCAGCGAGTACATAGCTCATGTCACACAGGTTACATGTGGCGTGCACCGTAGGCGCACGTGCGTCTACGGTGCACGCCACAGTGCTTTACCATGGTTTCAATTGATCCGGTGCGATATGTTGCCGGATCGTCCTTGAAAATGTATTTGCGGCTTTGATTTGCTTTTAAGCCACATAATCGCCAAAGCTTTGCGTCCAAGTCTTTACCACATTCGTTAAGACTGGTCGTGGCCTGAGTTGTCATTTTTCCAGATTAATTGGGTATGTCTTTGAGCCGAAAGAACTTGCTCAACATACTGCAATCATGTCGCAATAAGCAATCAAACAGAAGCACCCATGGATCGATTCCGTTCATCGTCCAAAAAATGTTGAACTGCCCGAGACACATGGGATGCTATCTACCGAGCAAAGCAGGAAAACCAAGAGCCGCCGGGAATGGGTGTGGGTGAAAATGCTGCCCACCATCTGTGCCGTTACTTGTGTGTTTGCCAAAAGGCGCTGATGCCATGCATTTGAAGAAAGGCATGTGTCCGAGTGAGCTACTCTTTTTAAAGTTCTTGCACACCGAAAAAGGGCTTAGTTTGCTACAGTGCAAAGTCGTTTGAGAAAGCATGGCCTACTTACCTGTACATGAAAAAGATCATATCGTTATCACTGGCGTGTCATATCTAGGCCTATCGCATTTCGCGTTCCATTAACCTCGTTCGAGCAATGCATGACAGTCATTTTGTCCCAAGAAAATTACAGATTTAACGACATTTAGATGGCTCAAAATGGCCGGGGCGGGAGGGGGGGGGGGGGGGGGGCGGAGCGAAGAAAGCAGTGGGCCGCCATGTTGAGGCAGTCTGGGTTGAAATGACCGTGAGAAGATTACGATCTTTACATATTTGTATCATGGTAGCGGGTCATGTATGATAAAAGGAGGTTAAAGTGCCATGAGACTGTAAATGTTACAGGTGCGAGATATCGAGGGTGGCTGAAACGGCTAGATGCTACAAGATTGCTTGGCCATGAAATTTTGTTCTTTATTGGGCCATATATATTTAATGCTGCCAGATAAGAAATGTTTGTGTCCAGTGTGCTTGGCCAAGAAGGGCATTGTGCATCGCATTAAGCCAAACCCATTGGTACAGGCGGCCTGGCATGGTTTAACGATAACACCTAAGACGCAAGCAAATAAAGCATGCACTTCGGCTGATGCACACGTGCGTTTCACCACAGAGAACCGCCAAAAAAAAAAAACAACAAACAACCGATGTGAAATGGAATCGTGTTGATACAAAACAAATTCGTAGCCATTTTGAGGCCATGCATCTCGAGAGACCCAGGGTAAGGACTGAAATTACTGGGTCGATGAAATCACAATAGCCGCCAGAAAGCTTAACCTCAGTCGACAATAATTCATGTTAAGGGGTAAAACACGTTTAGATTCACATCCAAATGGTTAGCTTTACCGCATTTCCGTGGATTTCTAAAAAGACATCAAGTGTGTCTCATTTGGTGTAGGTCTAATCAGGTGTTCGGTGTAACGAACATCCCTCTTCTCTGCAGATTCTTTAAGACATTGTAAGCGGTCATTCGGGCCAATCCAGTATCTTCGAAGCAGCGATTAACCACAGGTTTGGAAACGCCGGAGTTGTCTTGCACATATGTAGCGATGATATCGTGAACCACGTGTCCGTTAAGGGACCCCCCCCCCCCCTCCTTAGAGCAAAGAGAGCGTAGAGATGACAGAGACTTGCCCCGCATACCGCTACCATAGGACCTAATAGGGCCTGGCTGACAGCACATGTCCATAATTCATTCATCGTCGCGTGTGACAAGAATCGTGCTCCCACAATGCATCCAGCCTTCACTACAGTCAGTCAAATTGGCTTTTGACGAACACAAGACCTTGGTTTCTTATTTCCACTAGTTCCGTCACCAACATCAGACCATGGTTTGTGGCTCCCGCTTGTTCAGTCACAAAGACCAAGCACGGGTTCGTGGTTACCATTGGTTCCTCAAAACGACAGACCCATTTTTATGGTTGTCGGTGGCTCGCTCAGAAAAGAACGGTTGCTATTTCCTTCTCATCAGTGGTTCCTTCGTAAGCGGTGGATCGGGTTTCCATTTTGTAGTTATCTAATGATATGCACTGTGTGGATACCCACTGGCTCCTGGCAATAACTCCGGCTAAGATTTGGTTCTCGCTGGTTCCTTTGACATCATACTGGACCTTGGCTATTGCTGGATCGTCAGCAGAATTCCCGCCAGGACTGGGATTCTAGCCTGATTTCTGAATATATCCCAAGCTGAATCTGAATCCTTGCTGGACATCTCGGCTAAATTCCAGGGTGGATCTTGGCTCTTGCTGTATTACTGTTAATACCCCAGACAGGATATAGATCCTTGTTGTATCTCTTCGTTTGGGTTCAAGCTGGATCCTAGTTCCTGCTGGTTCTTCCAGCACAATTCAGTAGTAAATCTTGGTTCTTGATAAACACCCCTTTTGATTTTAATGCAGTGAGAGTCGATGTAAACGCCAGAACTCTCCCGGGTACGTGAAATACGTCATGGACATTCAAAACGTATACGCTGTAAGCCCGCCAAATATTCTACATTCATCCCCATTGTCTATGCCGTCGAAATTCACTGTTAGATATATTTACCTCTGAATCAAGTACGCCTGCATTTTGTTACGCGACCACAAAGACAACACAGCTGAAATGTGGATGATGTAAGTACCAAGGACAAAACCATTCTATGTCTTTGAGCCACTCCCACCGGTTAACTTGTCAGCGATGGCTGTATAGCTGAACGGTCAACTGACCCAGCCTGTTTTGTCCTCCTGTTCCTCGCCACTCATGAGGAGTCTGATTTGAAGCATGAGAGGAGCTTTAAACATCAAGTACCAAGCTGTAAGACGTCATGAATCCTGATATCAGGCGAAACCTTTACTCATCTACGCCTTTTATTTGGTGTAATGCGTGCGCACATCATTCACAGGACGAAACAATGGTCACACAACTCGTCAGCTACGCCACTCTGTGCGTTGACCTCACATAAATCGCAACCGGTCTGACGTAAAGCCCGGTCATCCGCACTCGTCAACAGCAACAATTTATTTCAAACACCATCAATTAGACATGGGGCATCGCGGATGGACACAATAGTAGGCACTAAACTGGACATTCGCTCCCTTTAAATTAAGGCATCATGTAACAGAGACCTGAGCGGTACCATGGCACACACTTGCCGTCGCCCCCAGTACGGTACCATGGCACACACTTGCCGTCGCCCCCGGTACGGTACCATGGCACACACTTGCCGTCGCCCCCGGTACGGTACCATGGCACACACTTGCCGTCGCCCCCGGTACGGTACCATGGCACACACTTGCCGTCGCCCCCGGTACGGTACCATGGCACACTTGCCGTCGTTCCCGGTTCGGCACGATGGCACACACTTGCCGTCGTCCTCGGTGCGTGGCGTACGGACGGGATCAGACAGGTGTTTATCTTCGTGCAGGGCCGTCACGGTGAGATGCGAACGCTCTGTCTTAGCTGCGGAGGCACTTCAGTCTCTTGCAATATTCTCCCGAACTCTCCCCATATGCCTAACTGAATGATGGTCTCCTCACGAGCTTAGGTCCAGCGCTGCAGCATCCACATCTTACTTAACACAAATGTAATTACCTAGGAACCAAGCCATGTAATTAACTCATGAGCTAATTCATGCAATTTGTTCGAGGTAGCTGTCAACGAGCAATCATCATGGACGGGAATTAACTCCTTTGACTGTAACTCGTCCTCATGTTGCATGAAATTTGGTAGACATGGATGCCAGCGACAACTGAATAACCTGTGCATGCCCGCGGTGAGGCAGCTAGCCCACGTGTATCGCCGCACGCCAACGTAGCCCCTGCTGCCACTGCAGTCGACAGTCCGGAGAACACCGGAGAGGTGCGGCATGCTCATCCCCAGCTGAGCGGCCGAAGGCCGCACCGACACATGGGAGCGTACCGGGAGCTCTGGATGACAAGCAAAGCCCGGTCACATGACGGTTATGGACACGGGCGTGAGATCTTGACGAGCGACCGTCGAAGGTCGCGTTTTCAGTCGCGATGAACTAGCCAGGTGTCATAGAATTGCCCATTTTTAAAGCAACAAACACGACGGAGCGGGCGCCGGCGCCTCCACACTCGCCGTCACGACGCCGGGCAGTGCTGCCGCTCTGACAGCAGACCGCCCGGCCGCTGGCCGGAGCGTCTTCGGTTAGCTGCCGCTGGCGTTCTCGACGATCCAGTCGAGGTACTCGTGCACGTCGGTGTAGATGCCGGGCAGGTTGGGGCGAGCGCAGCCGATGCCGGCCGATACGACGCCGATCAGTGTGTAGTGACCGTTCCGCCGGGACACGAGGGGACCGCCGCTGTCGCCCTGCAACCGGAGGCGTCACAAGTCAGCACAGCTCCGCCTGCCTGGGGTTCGTGCGGCGCCAACATAGCACGGGACACTGCACCTATGCGGTGTTCGTGATGGTGCCGGCTACATCCGGCGCAGACCTGTTAATGCAGCGCTCTCCGCCGTATTAATCTCAGGTGAATGCATTTGACCGCGCTCACAGCCCAGAGAGCCGTTGCAGTAATGGAACCGCACCGGAACCATACCGGGACGGCGGCAGAACCGCGAAGGGATCGCACTGGAGCCACGACAGTGCTTGCGTTTCTCCTCTGACCTGGCCGGGACACATGTCGCACTCTGGCCTGACGGAGCCACGTGCAGCCCTCTGACCTGACAGAGCTGCGTGCCTCCTCTGGCCTGACAGAGACATATTTTGCACTCTGGCCTGACAGAGACACATGACGCATTCTGGCCTGACAGGGCCACGCGCAGCCCGCTGATCTGACACCACCCTCTGACCTGACAGCTGTCCTTGTCGTTCTCTGACCTGACAGCCGTCCTTGCCGCCGCTCTTGTAGCCGGCGCACAGCTGGCCGCGTCTGACGGTCACGCCTCTTTCGGCCTCGCTGAACCAGCTGGAGCACGTGGTGGCCGTCACCACGGGCACGTGAACCCGCTGCAGCACCTTCGCTTGCTGCCCACCTGCGTCGGCACGTGGGAATGCTGCGTTACCGGCGGAGCACGTTGGCGTCGGTACGCAGCGCATGTCCACACACGGCCTTCTTGTGCCAAAGCCATGGCGGCACGCTTACGCATGGAATGGCGCTTTTGACCAATGCATTGTTCCAAATACCCCTTACGGCAGCATTGTCAGCACCTTATGTCCAAAGGATTTAATGTACCGACATTGCCACAGTGCTGACTTGCTAAACGTCCGGGTTACAGGTGAACTTTTAACAGCAAACACCGGCGTATGAGGCGTATCCGCCGCTTCCGTTTGCCGCTCCGAGTTATACTTGTAAAGATGGCATATGCCGCTTGATGTCGTAAGCTAGGAGCCAGTATGCCACACTGTGCCAACGCTTGACAAAGGCCACACCAAGCGATATTTGGGGATTGTTGTCGATAGTGACCTTTGGAGTACTCGTCGAGCCATCCCCAGCCGGCCACGGTGGCTGGGTCGCCCTGCACGGGAGGCGAGCCGACGCTGGGCAGGCACACCGGCTGCTTGTACTGGTCCCAGGTGATCTGGAACGGACACGGGAGTCAGCTGAGCTGAAGGTAGGCTGCAGCGAAGCAACCACAGTGGACCGTGACTGTCGCAGGCAGCGCAGAGGCGTTTCACTTGAACTAATAGGTACTTGTGTTCAAAACGGGGTTAGTAGAAAAAATTGAGCGCTAAACGATTGCTCCATCTAATTTTATTCCCCAATGCTCGTGTTACGTTCCTGAATGGTCATTACGTCGAGCGCAGTCCAGTTCTAAGACCCACGAGTAAGGACCAATTGTAGAAATGCGCCGGCACTGAACACGCTAAGCCACCGTCGCCATCGGCGACAAGGAAAGGCCTGATCGCACACCACTTCATCTGCGAGCCGGAGCTGGCAGCGGCGCCGGAGCGCGCCGTTGCCACTAACGCGAGCGGCGAGGCGGCGGCCGCCTGGCGCAGCTCACCTTGTCACTCAGCCGCAGCGCGATGTCTTTCTGGAAGCTGGGGTAGCGATATTGGCCGTGGCGGATCACTTTGGCCACCCGGTGCCTCTCCTGGGAGTGCTCGGCCCGGGTCAGGTCGTGCTCACCCACCACCACCGAGAGATCCAGCCGGGCACGACTGCGGACACGGCGCGAGGTCAGCGCCGGCTCGGCTCCGCGGACACGGCACGAGGTCAGCGCTGGCTCGGCTCCGCGGACAGGCGCGAAGTCAGCGCTGGCTC